CTAATAAAAATAGATAATGATATCTCATATCAATTATCTAAGCATGCATGCATTTCTTTAGTATATATTTATCAAGGGGCCCAGAGACATCACTCCCGTCATAAAGAAGGGACAAATCCTATCTCGATACATGCTAATTCTATCATGTGATATGCAACATACCCAACTATCATTCTGTCATCCAGTTAAGGAATGATTAGAATAAATGTCAAAATACATTACTCACACATAACAGACTCCATGTTCTCAAGCCAAAGAATTACATGTACATTGACCATATGAGAAACACTTATGACACTCACATGACATCCAATGAAGTGTTCTCATAACGAGTCACATCCGATACACAAAGTCTCCATTTTGTACCCATATGCAGATTCGATATCTCTATATGAATCCYTACATATGCTAGTCATTATCATATTACTTCAACCTTAAACCCGAACTAATATTTAACTAGGGACATTTAGAATACATTATTCTAAGGTTATTTATTATGAATAATTAAAACACATAATATAATATAAACATAATAAAATGGGCAGTGCCTTTATACTTATTAATTTCATGAAATAAAACTCAAAGTTACAATCATCATATGATTGGCTTTTGGGCATTCACTAACAGAAAATAATTGACATGAACATATATGAACAAATTGTGAACATGATCAAGCCACATAGGAAGAGAATATCGTATGTTCATATATGAACACATAACCCCATACTATGAACACCGGGTGCAATCACTTACACAATTTGACATATATGAACACAAGGTGCAAGAACGATGCTTATATAAAGATTTGGGAGCAAATTTTAACCAAGGACTCGGCAAGTTGACATGAACATATATGAACAGCAAGTGAGATCACTAACAAAAACCGGTATTCATATGATGGGTGTCATTAACATAAACGTATACAACTATGAACATGATGAAGCCACATAGGAAGAGAATATTGTAGAAAATATATGAACACATAAGTCCTATCATATGAATACTAGGTCAATCACTTACACAAATTGACATATATGAACACCAGGTGCAAGCATTTACACAAATATAAAGTTTTGAGATCAAGCTTTAAAAATGACACTTGTGTTCATATGACACAAAATTTCGTTCATGAAGTGTTATATATACTTAAATGAGAGTAGTAATATCAACACAATGGTTCATGATTCATAAAAACGGTTATATGACCATATAAAAATGGGTCATGCATGGAATTCCATTTGAACATGTGAATTAGGTACATATTAATAATTAAAGAAAAAACTACCAACACAATATAAACTACAAAAAACACAACACATCATAATGGACATAATTTCGATTAAAACGAGTACAATAAAATGTTAATCCATTACCAAGACATTCGCTTTGGTTATTTTCTTCACTTCCCGAACTCGAACTTCGATTGTCACAATAAACCATTTTAATCTTCTCAATGTTGTTGAGTTTTTCTCTAATGCGTTTATTCATAATAGCTTGAATGATACCGAAAATTTTACTACCGTGTTTCCTTCATGAATCAAAACTCATAAAACAATAAAAATGGAAGATCAATATTAAAAAAAAAAAAACAAAAATATCAATATTAAAAATGCACATTTTTAGGGATTTTATGATTTTGTAACTCCCAATTAATAATATAGGAGTTACATAAAAATGAAATTACTCAAATACCTTTGGCATTAAATTGTAAGCTAGATAAAAACCTAATAGAAACATAGATTGTGATTGGTTGAAATGGTTGTAAAGTTAACACAAAAACTTTACTTAACATTTGATCTTACCTCTCTCTATATATATAGAGTTGAGTTATTATGCAACACTTTATATTTGTACAATCAATACAACTCAATCTCAACCGTCCATTTAATTTGATAAACATGTGATTTCATAAAAGTTTTGATTGTTTCATAATATAAAATATTGATCATAATTAATGAACTATAATCATATTCCATGAATATTTAAATCATAATAAATAAACTCTCATCATTTTCGTAAATATCTCAATTGATTGGGTTGTATTAATTGTACAAATGAACATGGTTACATTTGAAATATACCCTATATATATTGACGAGCCAGTTGTTTCATTTACGGAAAATTGAAAACACGATCAAAGGATTTTTGGTCTAATGGATCTAGATCTTTGTCCTTCAAAGAAGCTAGATATCAAACCTTATAAAATCTAAGAAAAGTTTGAATAACATAAAATATAGGATTTATTTCATTCATTCATTACATTAGGTAGAAAATTTCAGTAACACTACAATAACTTTTCAAAATTTGAAGGACTGTAATGAAATATTTTAAAATGTAGGGATCGTTGTTGCAAGTTATCATAACGTTAGGTACCATTATTGTAATTTACCCTTTTTTTTGCTGTGCTTTTCAACTCCGTACGAAGTTCAGAGCTGTTTTATCCTCCTCCCCCATCCCCACTCCACCCCACGGCTACGGCCACGGCCACGGCCACCTCCACCTCCACCTCCGCCACTTGAACATGGCCACAGCCGCCGTGTCGCTTCTTCAATTTACTCGAATTCCTCGACACTTCTCTCTTTTTCCTTTACTCGTTCCTCGTAGCTTGTCTTCTCTTAGCTTTAGACGCAGCTGCAAACCTCGGCTCTGCTCCAGTCTCTTCTGCGCGGATTCGAGACGGCATTTTGCAGTTACTGCTTCTAGCTCGTCAGGTAGACACTGTTGTTAGTGGTTATTGTTGATTTTTCATCTTGGCATTTCATCAAACAGATATGGTTCATTTTGGATGTTTTCTTTTTGCCATCTGGTATCTTACACGCGCTTTTTGTCAAATGGAAATTTGATATATAATCTGTTGCAAATTCAAGAGTTTTCTTTTGTAGTGTTTGTTGTGGTTATCGGTTTCTTTTTGAGTTTTTGTAAAATTATTGTAATTCTCGAGTTGGATAGGAACCAGGTTGAGACCCGAAAGTGGAAACTTTATCATTCTTTCTATTTCCCTTTCAAACAAGAGAGTGGGTTGCACTGGGTTAGATTTTTAGTTGCCCATGGAATAATTCCTAGAAATAATTTAGTTAGAAAATTTTAGAAAGTAGGAATTCTGAAAAGCTCTATGTAGTATAAATGGTTCACTGGTGAGGGTGGTGAGGGTGGTGAGGGTGGTGAGGAAGGAACTCAAGTAACTTAAATATTAGTAGCATGAATAGAGAGCAGGTTTTATTCATGATAAATGCAAATATCAATTTTGTTTGTGATCAGGAAGCAAATCAGCGGGAGAAAAATCTGAAGCAGAGAGATTGGGGAAATTTTCTGTGTATTTAATAAGTGAACCTTCACACAGTAGATATACACCTTTTGACCAAGCTGTAAAACAAAACCAACTAAAGTCTAACTAATTAACTGAGACCAACTAAGAACCAGACCAACTAACTAACTAGTTAGTCTAAGACCCCCTTCAAGCTGGAGGCTGTGTCAACAAACCAAGCTTGCGTTGAATAGCCGAATGTTTAAGACGTGGTAGGGGTTTGTGAATACATCTGCCACCTGAGAAGAAGTGGGTGTAAAATCCACGGTGATGATCCCTCTTCTAATTGTTATCTCACATAGTAACAATCTAACTCTATGAAGACAATATCTCTGTCAATCTTAAGTTTCTATGAAAAATCAATATGTTTTTGGCCCTTCCTTTTTTCCATTATATATTTGTGTAAGAGATGTTATAATACAAGGTTCCTCTTTGCTTTTGTTGGCGTTCGGTTAATGTTGGACTTTTTCCCCTCAAAACTTTTTTTCAGTTTGAATCGTTTTGTATGTGTGTTTATGGCTCTGAAAAGGGCTATAAGATTGAAATAAATGATAAATAAGTCAATTTGAGAAAGACTTCATGAACCAGTAAGAAAGGATCGAGGAACCAACCCTTCCCTCACCCTTGAAGTGATGTGTTGTATGATTAGATGTTTAGATCAAACTCCTGTACTATTCCCTACATTGCGAGGGCACTCATAATTGAAATGTGGGTATTTGCATCTTTTTTGGTGGGTTGGTGCTGTGACTTCAACATGATACTGAAAGTTTTGGTTTGAAGGTAAAACAAGAAGTAATTTGAAGGGTTAGGAACATGTAGAGGTGTTCAAAGAGTCCTATTTTGAAGGGCAAGGTAGAATTTATGTGATCATCATAGTATAAAGTGATCATCTAGGGGGACTTGAATTTGAGTGTGAAACTTCTCTGAAGGTAGTTAATATCATTTTTGTCCATTTTCTGATAGTTGTACCTGACTCTTGGGAATTACACAAGCCATTCCTTTTCAAGATGTTTCTTTGTGAACACCATATTGACACAATCTACTTCATTTTGGAAAATTCTCCCCCTAGACCAGAATAGTCACGTTGCAGCAGTTGAAGAAACATATGACGTGATAGTGGTTGGAGGTGGCCATGCAGGCTGTGAAGCTGCACTTGCCTCTGCTCGTTTAGGGGCAAAAACTCTTCTTTTAACACTGAATATTGATCGAATCGCATGGCAGGTTGGTTGGTTCTAAGCTGTATTGTTTATTTTACCTGATTGATCTGTTTATTAGAAGCTGAAGTTTTATCTCGTTTATGTCTTCATATAGTTGGACTTCAACATGTTGTTCTTTGGGAGTTATTGGGTTGATAAACAATTTTTGGTCCAAGTTACTTTACCCTGAATCCAACAGCTGATTCTAAATACTTTTTAGGGCTTTGGTTGAATTACAAAGATGTCATTGACTAGCACACTAATATGACTAATAACAGGATCAGTTAACGTGGAAGGTTCCTGTTGATTGTGTACACTTACAGACTCTTTATGCTAATTTTTTTGCATTAACAAACATTCGAGATACAAAAAGACCAACATGGATGTTCTATTTTAGAACGTGCAATTTGAAGATGAAGTGAATAGGTAATGGAAGATTAAATAACTTAACTGGTGAAATTTTAAAAAAACTGGAAATTGGCAGGGATAAAATCGTCTTAAGGTGGTTATACATCCTACTTTTATGGGTGGAAACATTGGAGATATTATGTCTTAGTTTATTACCTCGATCGATATATTCACTTTATTTAAGGAATTATTGCTATGCATTTGCTTCAAATGCTCCATGTGTGTGCGCCTAATCGGCTGTCTCTCCAATATCCCTCCTTTCCGGAGCACATGGTTGCTATATTGGTAGTCACGTCTAGTACAAGGTGAAATTAACAAATGAAGTGGAATTTATGACTTTACTTCTGGGAACATCATCGTCAATAACTTTAAAGTTCTTGATCATTTCTCACTAAGATGAGTTTGGTACAGCCCTGCAACCCAGCAGTTGGTGGACCTGCAAAGTCTCAACTAGTACATGAAGTGGATGCATTAGGTGGTGAAATTGGAAAGATTGCTGATAGGTAATTTCACTGGCTAAGTAGATATATTGTAAGATGTTTCTAAAACTGTCATGCTCACACTTTTTACTTCTACCAGATTCTGGCTATCCTATGACATGCAACTTTTGTATGTTGATGAGCTTGAGCTCAATACAGATCAGAGGTCTTAACATGTTTTAAATTTGTCTCGCCTCTTACTCTATCCATTTCAAAATGTCACTCTTTTCATATTCACAAAATGCACTCTGCAATTTGCATGTAAAAACTTGTCACTCTTTCAAATAATAAGGGTCTTCTTTCTAGAAGTGGGAAAGCTGTTGTGATTTGTACAAAATTTGCATTATCAATCCATGTAAATGTCACTCGCTTAATCCAGAAAGAATCTATATTTGGCTTTTAAGAGTCAAATCGCTTACTTAATAACCTGAATGTTGAATAAGAATTTTAAATCTTATAAAAGATCAATGAACTATATCAAATTAATAAATCAGTACTGCAGTAGACATGATATGGAACTAAAAACAAAACTATACACACTTTTGTTAATTTGTAGTTTGAGTGTCATGGGTTTGAATTTCGAAACTGGAGTTGGATTCTAACTGTGTGGGACGGATCTTACATTCTTCTCCTATGAACGAACCTTCTTTCATTGATTTTTTTGGAAGGAGGGCGGCACCTCCGGCAAAAAAATTTATCACCAAAAAAATTACATACTAAGGTGGGACTTCCACCAAGCATGTTCTCTCCGGCCATTAGGACTTCTTTGATTGTTTATAGCATGAGAATTTGACCTTTGGGATATAATGGCAAGATCCTCTTCTAAATTATATCCTAAAACTATGTAGTGTAGTTTAAACTTAGTCCAATGCTTTACAGGGGAAAAGTGAATAGAGGTTTTTGGGAAAAGATGGAATAAAGCAAAAATAGGACGAGTAAAATACTAACCATATGTAACAAGGCACTGACTACTTTATATGAATAAATATCTTGGATAATGCTTCGACTTTCCAAAGAACAATGGTCATTTTTCTTTTCTTGCTTGTGATAATTTTCTGGGCATTTTTACCATTATTTATGCCTCATTATTGCATTTAAAGTTGCAAGCTGTGGAACTTTTAGATCTTGGTTAAGTTGACCCAGGAGGGTGGATTGGGGAGTTAACCTTAATAGTTGATAGACTGCATGGATTTCTGATTCAAATATGTTGTCCCCTGGGCCTTGGCTGCTATGGTTCCTAAAGTCACCTCTTACCAAGGAATTCTTAGGGTAATAAGAATTAAGATTTGCTAATTATTGTCTAATTTCATTAACGATCAACTCAATGGTTGTCTGATACACTTGGTGTTGGTGTTCCATCAACATGTTAAACCTTAAAAGGACATATGGCATATTTTTTAGTTCCAAAAGGGTTATTGAGTTTCATGTTTAAGTAGCACCTCTATAAAATTTATCTATTGCTCTTATGCTTATCAATTTGCTCTAAAGTTATTACATAGATACTTATGATGACACGAGGAAATAAGTACTTTTGCAATGAATTATTTTTCCTCAGATTGCACAAATGCAATAGAAGATGATTTATTTTTTACTTACACAGTTACATGCAGGCTGCGGCACTGTAAATACTCTACATGCTAATTCAAATATAAGACCTCACACATTAAAAGTGAATATTATACTTGATCAACATTTTCTTATTGGATTTTGTAAATCAGTTCCCTAACTCGTAAGTGATCCAACTGGAAGGAGTATTAGCAATGCCCTGGCCTCAGATCCTATTGTTTTTGTTTTTGTGTTAAAGTCCTACTCGATTGATACTGCATTTCTCATTTTTAGGTTACTGATTAGTTCTTGCTTCATACTTCAGGTGTTATCTACAAAAGCGTATTCTTAACATCTCTAGAGGCCCTGCTGTTAGAGCATTGCGTGCTCAAACTGATAAGAGAGAATATGCTATCGAGATGAAACATGTTGTAGAGAGGCAAGTTACTCAACTTCATTGTTCAAATTTAATTTGGTTTATGATCTAACAAATACCATGATTTTCTGGTCTATTTATTTTTGGGCTCCTAACATATGTCAAAAGGAACTCATAATGTGCTTTAACCCATGAAAATTCATGTGGTTAATACATCTTCTTTGAACTCAATTTAGGAAGGGTATTAATGTTGTGTGGTTGATTGAGACAGAAGATATAAGAAAGTGCTGTATGTTTCTATCCAAGGTGTTCTAAAGCTTACTACTATCTACTGGAGATGTATTGCTTGTACACATTTTAATGTGAATTGCTTGAACCAAGGTCCATTTCTTGGAAGGAGTGTGTTTATGACGGTTTTTAGAATTTAGACCCTGTGACGTAAGATGGTTAAATAATCCCATTATCCTGGTTTGGAGGCAGCTGTAAATGTTATGTTGATTTCTTCAGAAAATCTTATGAACTAATGTAAGTTCAGCCCACAAAAGAGCAGGCTATATTTCTAGTGCTGGGTCGTGCACCATATCCGAGTCCAAATCTTTTGCGTCTTTCACCGTCTTTTTATGGGGTTTCATTTGTCTTTATGGTTCCTTGTTTAAGACAGTTTATTTGTGGGTTGGTTATACAGATTAATACTTTCTGAAACTATAAGGAACTAAGAAACTTTCACCTCATTCTTCTGAAGTTTTTACTTGGAGAGTCTCTTGATTGGCGATCTTGGATTTTTGTCATCCTGGATCCAATTTGTTTCATTTCATCTATGCGTCTTTGATATGATAGTTTTTGAATTTTTGTCTGGTTGTTTTTTGACTAGTTAAACATATTTTCTGGCAATATCTACCTAGAGAATTTATTCAGAGGATCTGGATAAGGTAACAAATGGAATACTTTGGAGGTAAGTTCAGGGGATTTAAACAATCATACATGTAGATTAATGGTTGCTTTTACGTCGTAGGTTTTGCCTATGGTTCAAAACATGGAGAATAAATCTTAGTTTCTGCTGGTTAATGCTTTGCACTGCAGTGATCACTGTGTATAAAACAAGTTTATATGTAGTAACATTTAGTAGTGATCCAAACTTTAGTTGAATAGGCTTTTCTTATCAACAGTGGAGTACTGCTTATGGATCGTGAAGTCATACCTGGAGGTAGAATTGGTTATTGTAAGAAAGTGAAAATATATTGAAACTCTTTGAACTTTGTGATGATAGATCATTCAAACCTGAAGTGGGAGAACTATCAGTTTAAATGTTTTGCCATATCTGGTTTAATTTTCACTAGTATGCTGTTTGGAGCAGGCAGATTCTTGTACTTCATCTTCTTGATTCTGAATTCCTGATTGAGGAATACTATATTTTCTTCAATGGTTTTAATTGAAGCGCTTTTTGTGTTAGTTTCACTGTTGGTGGCTTCAGCCCTACGGAATTTCTAAGAGGGTGTTTAAGGAATTCTTGATTCTCTCGATAAATTACTTTTGCTATTGGATTCTACATCTCTGAGTTTTGGTAGTGTTAGAGATGATGATGCTTCTTGCAGAAGTATTATGTTTGTGTGCTTATAGACTAGAGGCAATGAAAAACATTGACAACAACTATGCCTGTTCTTCAAATGCAATGACTTCTTTGTCACATTCAGAAATGGTTTGTAAAAGGAGCACCGGCCGAGCGCCTGAATGAATAATAAATTCACAGCAGAGGTAATTGTATCATGCTATCTAGTGATTGCCAAGAAGTGGAGGCTGTCTTCTTGATGTCGCTTTTGGATTTGTTTGGCCTGCCTTTTTTTCTTATTCCTCTGACTGCCACCATGGCCATTGACTTTCTATTTCTCCTTAGCTCTTTGACTAAAATAATTCCTTTACAAAAAGCAGAATTATCTACAATTTAAACTCTTCTTTACATTCCAGTAAGGGGTGCATCTTATACCTTGTTTGGCTTTGACATATGCTATTAACTATATGCTTGGTAACATGTTCAGGTCAGTGGACCAAACAACATTTGTACAACTCGTATAGTTTAATGATCAGGAAATCTTTGTGTTCTTTATTTGTGCCAGTATTCTACTCCTATTTTTCTTTCATAAAATAAAATTCCCTTGCAATTGGCGTTTATATATGGTTTCATGGGAAAAGTACATGTTGATGTACCCTTTTTAACTATTGTTTTGCGTTTTCAGCACTCCCAACTTGTCTATTAGGGAGGCGATGGTAACAGATCTTTTGCTGGGAACAAACGATAATGTCAAAGGTGTTTGCACATTTTTTGGGATGAACTTCTATTCACATTCTGTTGTTCTTACAACTGGCACTTTCATGAGTGGAAAAGTTTGGGTTGGCAGAACTTCTATGCCTGCAGGAAGAGCTGGCGAAGCAGCTTCATATGGTCTTACAGAAAATTTGCAGTCACTTGGATTTGAATCTGACCGGTTAAAAACTGGGACACCTGCACGTGTTGACTCACGCACTGTGGATTTCTCTCTTTTGGAGCCTCAGCACGGAGATGAAGAGGTTCTTGCATTTAATCTCATATGTAGGTTTATCGTATTATTTAATGATCTCAAAATTTCTGTCACTCTGTATTATTTTTGCTGGTAATATATTGTGTGTCTAGTTGAGAAATTTAATGAAATACCAAACAGTTCCACCCCGTCTGTCCCAATAGAATTGTTACATAGAGTATCCATACTAAAGTTTTTAGTGTATAGCAGCTCTGTCCCTTGGGTATGTTAGAAGGCAAAAGAAATGCGAGGAGTTTAGCAGGATTGAGCAGTTTAACAAGATAAATAGCGAGGATATGTTAGGCTTTGTTGCTGCTAGAGGCCCTAGGTTGGGAAGGCAAGCCTTTCGTGTCAGCTTCTATAACTTACAGCTTTCGATAGAAACACATGTACAAGTTCCCCCTCATATCTAAAATTTCACATGGTATTAGAGCTCCAGGCCTTGGCTTTGGGGCTGCTGCCACCACCATGAAAGAATACCAGTTGCACCACTGATCGCACCTGGCTTTTGTGGCCTGATTTTTTCTTTCTCCAATTTTGCGAAGCAACCATTTTGTTTGTGGTGTTTAAAATTTTAAAATCTTATCCTTTCCTATTCTAATAAACCATACTTTAGGTCCAAGTTTCTAGTTGAAGTTTTCTTGCCATCTTGTATTCAGCTAGAACATGTTACTCTACCACTCTGCTAAAAGGACGTTCTCAGATATTCTGGAGGCACTAGTAGGGTGTGTTTGGATATTGGTAAACTAATGCATTTAGTATCAATAAAAAAAGTTACCGTTTCATAGCTATACAATAAATGGTACCAGTAATCTATTTTTTTTCTGTAAATAAGTGAATTAATAGAGCAGGATTGTCATTTTTACTAGTTCTTGTATGTTATTTTCAAATCTAGTCTTTGTTGATAGTTGGTGGCTTGGTGCACTTATGTTACTTGTGTTTGCTTTTCCTTTCCTATTGTGTGATGCATTGCTTTTAAAATTGTGTGATGCATTGCTTTGTTTAAATTTAATGAGAAAGTACATGAAAGTTCTTACATTCCTTGATTATGGTTTTCTCATCTTGCAATTTTAAGGGCAAGTGCACCAATGCTCCTCTGTTTGCAATGGTTGGGGAGGGAAGTCTTTGTACGCAATTTTCTCTTTGCAGGTTTCAAAGGCTATTTTTGGGAATCATGCAATTCAGAAATCAAGAATAACTAAATCGTTAAGCTTACCAATTGACCTATTACTAAATATATGGTAACAGACTAACAGGATACAAAATTGAATGATGTTTATGGTTTGTTAACCTTCCAGTAAATGCAATACGTAAATTAATTTCTCGTTGGACAGCCCGTTGCTAAAGAATTCCACTAACGAGTGTCACTTGTGTTGCAAGTCAGTTTATGGACTCACAAGGTTAGTTTTGTTGCCATGAGGGTATTTCTGGTTCAGATTTCACTCAGTTCAGAAAGTGCCTTCTGTGGGTTTTTGGCTCTTGGGCATGAGGAAAAGGAATGGTGCCTTCTAATTTATTTCTTTCAAATGTCAAGTTGTCAACCAAAGTTCAATTTCATTTCTGGGATCATTTGAACTCTTGATAGGATAGTCCAGGATTTTTATAGTATCCTGTTTCTAGTGAATTGCATGTGTCCTTCATAGCTGAAGAAGGAAAATTACCCTTCAGAGTTGTCAGAGTAGGGGAGGGTATTGGGTATCCTTTGTCTCTTCAGGTGAACTTATTAGGTTACTTTTTAAGTGGAGAAATTACTTGGTGTTTGATTGGTTCATCTTCAATTTAATTGATGTCACCAACCTATATTTTCTGTAGAGATGACCGAGAGTTTGTGTGCAAGATAACGCTATGTAGGCGGGATATTGAAGTTGGATTGTATAGAATGCATACATACATTGATATTCACGAAGGTGTGTGTGGGTATGTGGAGGGAGAGTGTCTATGTGGCACAAATAAGTTGTGTTCCCGGCTCAGTGAAGTTTACCTTGTGCATAGATATTTCTCCGGTTTTAGATGAGAACGCTGAAAAACATACCTTAATAGACAGGATGCTACTTAAGAAGCAGAAAAGTCTTAGGCTTGATGAACCATGTGTGTTAGATTGCAATTGTAGAAGATGCAAATGGACTAGCTAGGGTGATTTGGGTCTATTCTTTTGTAGCGAAGCTTAAGAATCTGCTCACTCTTAGCTATAAGAGCAAGCTTGTTCTTCGTTCAGATTGTTTGCACTAGAATAACAGATACGGTTCTTTCCATTACCCAAGTCGACTGTTTCTAGCATCTTTATCTCTTTAACCATGCTGGTACTGGAAATAGCTTCATTCCCTATACAACTAATAGATTGGTGATCCTATAAACATTAATTGAACTCTGCATTTCTCTTTTGGGCGAGAAGGTTGCAAAATTGTATGAAATGGATTTGATTTCCTCAAAGTAATTATGATAAAATGGATTTGAGGCTCTCATAGCAATTATGTGCCAACTTTTGAGTGTTCGGATCGTGATGATGTTCTAAGAAACCAAAAACCAAACGAACCCCGTAAATCCCAAACACCCCCGTCTTGCAAAACAAAAATTAAAAAGAATACATTTTGAGCAAGCTTCATGTGAGAGTGCCTGCCAAGAAACAATGGGTACAGTAAACAGAAAGTGCATCAGGGACATATGTAAGGAGAATATATTAAACAAACAAGAAAACAAGGATACACAAAGCGCAATATAGAAACTACAATTACAGGAGGAAAATCTAAGACCAGTGTTCAACAAACACACAAGTAGAAACAAAATTAGACATAGAATATAAGAAAAACCAAGACAACCCTCCTCCCCCCCTCGACCATCATATCTTTACTCACCAGTGCCATATTCTGCCTCGTGCAAGCATGTCGAATTTGTTAGTCTAAAGTAGTTTCACAGACGTTTAGGAAATACTTCGATAAGATTCAATGAAAGCTTTGGTCTTTAAATAGCCATACAACCTATGGAAGCAACAAACCACTACTCCACTAATAGAGCCTAATGCGTTGAAAAAGGAAACAGAAAAAAACAAGAACACGACCTGGTCTACGAAAATGATTCCTAATAACAAGTAACTTTTGACCCACTAATAACAGCAAAATTCTAAGTCAAAACCCAACAATGCCTCTCCTAAACTGGTTGTGATAACAATCGGTTTATCTTCTCATAAACTCCTAGCTCTTCTCGCAACCTCGAAAATGCTTCCAACTTTAAACACTTAGTCATAATGTCTGAAGTTGTTCTTTTGTGCCACAGTGAACAAGCTTGACAACTCCATTTCTTGTCATGTCTCTGAGAATATGGAATCTTACGTCGATATGTTTACTCCTTCCATGAAGAATCGGATTCTTTGATAACTTAATGGTTGAATTGTTATCACACAAAGTCGTAGTACATTGAGGTTGCTTTACTTCAAAGTTCAAACTGCTCTAGAATTCTCTTCATCCAGATACATTGACATACACATGATGCAGCTGCAATGAATTCAGCCTCTGTTGTGGACAAAGCCACCAATGGCTGTTTCTTGGATGCCCAAGACACCGCTGCACCACTTAACAAAAATGCATATCCGCTTGTACTCCTCCTATCATCAGTGTCTTTGGCAGAATTGCTATGTGTGTAAGCAGTCAATCAATTAGTGCCTCCCCTTTTGTAGAACAAACCGAGAGACATGGTACTCTTCAAGTAACGTAGGACCCTCTTTGCTGCTTGCATGTGTTGCTCAGAAGGATTGGCCATAAACCTGCTTAATAGACACACCACATATAGTAGATATGGTCTCGTCGTAGTTACGTACATAAGACTTCCAGTAAGTTGCTTAATGCTTATACAGTGTTCCATCAGCCTTAATTCCTTCTTTATCTTTTGACGGTTGTGCACGTGGAACAATTGGATTTTTAACAGAAGTTGCTTACCTTTCCAACAACTCCCCTGCATATTTCTTCTGTGTAATAAAGATGCCTTCTTCTTTCTGAGTTACTTCCACACGAAGGAAGTATTTCATCTTCCTCAAATCAGTCATGTCAAATTCCCTTTTCATAGAAGCTTTGAACTCATCGAACAAGTCAGAGCTATTTCCAGTAAAAATTAAATCATCAACATATAAACTGACAATTAAGATTTTATTACCTTTGCTTATCTTGACAAACAACGTGTGTTCAAAGTTGCATTTCTGAAATCCTTCCCTGATGAAATAAGCTTCAATTCTGCTGTACCAAGCACATGGTGCTTGTTTCAGGCCATAAAGTGCCTTTCTCAACTTGTAAACTTTATCTTCTCCTCCCTTTTTAACATAGCCTTGAGGTTGGTCAACGTACACGTCTTCCTTTAATTCGCCATGTAAGAACGCACTCTTTACGTCGAGTTAAAAAATGCACCAGCCTTTGTGAGCCACTACTGCAAGAAGCATTTTGATCGTGTCCCATCTTGCCACAGGAGCAAACACTTCATTATAATCGATTCCATGTTGTTGAGTGTATCCCTTTGCTACTAAACGCGCTTTATACTTAATCCACTTTCCCAAGCTCATTTAACTTCGTTTTGAGTACCCACTTAACACCAATTCTTTTTGCTTCCGGCGGTAACTATGCCAAATGCCAAGTCTCGTTCTTATTGATAGCTTCAACCTCATAATCCATGGCCTTTCTCCATTTTTTGTCCTTTACTGCTTCTTTAAACGAGACTGGATCATTAGATACGGTAAACATGGCAAAATTGCTTCTAATTTCAGTTTCTTCTTCATCAGAGATCCCCTCTCCTGATGTATAATCTTGTAAATGGGAAGGTTGTCTTCGAGTTCTTGTAGATCTTCCTGGTTCTTCTATGGATTGACTTGCAAGTCTTTCTAATTCTTCTGTCACTTCCGTCAAGATTTCTTCTCCTTCAGCTTCCTTTTCATCTTCGGAGAGAGCATCATTGCAATCCCCCCAGACGAGTCTATCTACATGATGGTTGTTCTCTTTCCACTTCCAAGCCTTTTCTTCCTCAAACACAACGTCAAGACTAATCACCAGCTTTTGTGTTGTTGGATTGTATAGCCTGTATCCCTTGGAATAATCACTCACGCGAAGAAGCACACAACAAATGCTTTTGTCGTCGATTTTCTTCCTTTCTTTAGATGGAACATGCACATGAGCCATACATCTAAAACCCCTAAAATAATCAACGTTAGGCTTTACCTTGCTCCACATTTCCTCAGGTGTCCTTTCTTTTTCGACAAAGACTGGACTTCTATTCAAAACATGCACCGTCCATTTTGCAGCTTCAGGCCAAAAATGTTTTGGAACATCCCTACAATCCAAAACACAATGTACCATATTCATTATCGTCTGATTCTTTCTTTCGGCTACTCCATTTTGCTGTCGAGTGTAGGTTGTCGTAAGTTGCCTGGTAATCCCCGGTTCCTTGCAAAATAAGTTGAATTCGTTTGAATTGAATTCACCTCCTCTATCCGTACGTAAGCAACATATGATTGAACCCTAATCCTTTGCTGCTTGATTCTTGAAGTGCTTGAAGTGTGTAAATATCTCAGACTTGTCTTCCAGAATATATATCCATACCTTCCTGCTATAATCATCAATAAATGTCAAGATATATTTCTTACCGCTGTTGGAATCTAGACAGATCGGCCCGCACAAGTTAGAGTGCACCGGTTGTAGTTTCTTTGAAGCACGCCATTGACTTTTCTTTGGGAAAGACTCCTTGTGTTGCTTCCCAACTAAACAACTCTTGCATGTTTTCAGAGAGCCTCTCCGCATCGGCAATCCTTTCACCATATTTCTGAATTTTAAGGTTCTCAGCCCCTTGTAGTTAAGACTTAAGTTGCCCGTATCTCTGATGCCGAAGTTGTGTTTCTTCCTCTACTGACACCTGCATGCACTTTGGTTGAGCTACTACAACAACTTGTACCTTAGCGGATAGAGGAAACATTTTGTTTGCTGTCATCTGTGTTTGGACAATTAGACCCCTAATATCTTGCAAGTTCCATGTTGTATAAGAATGGACAGGCCTCGTTCTTGAAACTAGCCAAGACTGAGTAAGTTGCTCCTCAATTCCGGCACCCAGTAGACATCTGTCACAACATGAATCATGCCTCCAAGTGATAGGTGCACACTTCCTTTGCCCATGACCTTAATACAAATGTTATTTCCAAGTTTCACAAAGTGATTGTATGTTTCATCAAGATTTATAAACCAAGCTTTCTCACCACACATATGATTACTACAACTTGAATCCATAAACCATACCTCGTCCTTCGTTTCATCATTTGTCTCTACAGATTCCATAAATAGCATTTCATCTCCTTCGGCAAGTTCTACATAGTTTGCTTTCTTATCCTAGTTAGGACATTCGTATTGGCAGTGCCCTAATTGGTGACAATGGAAGCATTCGACAATAGCTCTATTGATGAATCTTCCTCGGCCTCTACCTCTTCCTCGACTTGTGCTCCCTCGTCCTCTGCCTCCTCTTTCATCATAAGTGATCTTCAATACTTGTTCCTCGACTCCTGTTGTACTCTTCTTAAACTTCTGTTCATGCACAAGCAAAGAGCTTTCTAGAGCATCAACAGTGAGAGTATCAATATTCTTCGACTCCTCAATGGAACAAACAACGTAATTGAAGTTCTCAGTGAGGGTTCGTAGGATTTTCTCCACTATTTTCACATCCGACATGTCTTCTCCACAATTCCTCATGTCGTTCGCCACGACCATTACCCTTCCGAAGTAGTCCGTTACAATTCTCCCTTCTTCATCTCCAGCAGTTCAAAGTTTCTTCTTAAGGTTTGTAGTTGCGCACGCTGAACCCTAGCATTCCTTTGGTAATTTGTTTTTATGTAATCCCACAATTGCTTGGATATCTCCTTCTGCGTAATCGTCTTCAAAATGGTTTTGTCGATAGAGCTGAACAAATAATTTTTGGCCTTGAGATCTTTCAACACTGCTTCATCCAGGGCCTTCTGTTGCACACGGGTAATGGCATGACAAAGCCTTTTTGTACTACACTCCAATACTCTTTTGATCTTAGAAGGTTCTCTATGATCAAACTCCAGTGATCTCAGTCTCCATCAAACTTAGGACTGCTTGGTTGCCCAGTACTACTCCCTTTTGCCATCTTCTCTCAGACTGCGTGCACTCGTACACTTTTCTCTCACACAGGTCAGGCTTCTTTTAAAGCTCTGATACCATAATTTGTTAGTCTAAAGTAGTTTCACAGAGGTTTAGGAAATATTTGATAAGATTCAATGAAAGTTTTGGCCTTTAAATAGCCATACAACCTATGGAAGCAACAAACCACTACTCCACTAATAGAGCCTCATGCGTTGAAAAAGGAAACAAAAAGAAACAAGAACATGACTTGATCTACGAAAATGATTCCTAATAACAAGGAACTTATGTGACCCACTAATAACAGTAAAATACCAAGTCAAAACCCAACATAAATCACCATAACCTTCCCTCTCTCAAATTATCCGTGGTGGGCGCAACTCCCAACTCCGCTAGAAAGGCTTTGTTCGGTATCCTATCCAACATGGTTTGGACTTTGGCTATATTCCATCTGAACATCTCCAATTCTGCAACTTCTAACTTCCTATCATGTTCCTTCTGATCGCCTAATACTTTGACCCATATATCGTGGCTCCTCTGATGGCCTACCCTGTAGAATTTCCACTTAATTTTTAGCGGGACTTTCTCATCACACATACTCCTATTGCAGCTCTCCACCTTAACCACCTGGTCTTCATGTGATGTGTCACATCATCCTCAAACCTCTCCCTCCTTCTGAATCATGGAGTCTAGATGCTTGAAGTTGTCCTTTTGAGGTATCCTTTCGATTCCCAATGTTGACTTTTAATTCCTCGTTGCCTTCTAAGTTGCACCCTAGACATTCAGTCTTGGAGTGATTGATGGCACAAGCCTTGTGTTTCCTAAGTCGCCCTCCATTATTCCAGCCTCAGGTTCACCTCGGCCCTCGACGGTGCTACATACCCAAGGTTGTCGGCATATTGCTATAATCATTTTAAGTCTTAACAACGACGATCATGATTAGATTGACAACCCTATCTTTGGAAGTACTAGTGCTTTAATCTTGTGATATAGCCTTGGTTTAAAAATGCGCGCATAATGCGCTCTGATGCGCTAGAGGAAACGCATCAGATGGGCTGATGCGTTGCGATTCCATGATGCGCTCGCATCACCTACACATCACACGATGCGTGCATCACCTACGCATCAGCGCATCCTGTATGTTTCATGTTTGGGCTCCCTTTTTCAGTTTTTAGTTGGGTTTTTTAGTTGATTAAAATAGAACGTGAGACTGAATGGTGACCTAATAGAAGAAGCCGACAACCACTAATAGAAGAAGCAGAAGTCGCACTCGCATATCAATCAGATTAAAAAGGAAATAGAACGTGAGTTGTTGTCGTACAGCCAAATGAGAGAGATGAACCCGTGTTGGGTTTGATGATGCTGATCTTGGGGAGTATTAGTTGGTCACTTGGTCATTTAGTTTAGGGATTGGGGACTATTAGACATTTACTTGTGTTCTTCATAGAAGTAGTTTGTGTGTTCTCTTATTCCGATTCACGAACTTTTTAAGATTCTAATGCCACTTTTTGAACTACTTTATGTTATAAATGAAGTATTTTGATAGGTAAGTATTTTTAAGATAGAAATTGATATGTAGAATTAATTTATAAATATTTTTTGAATACCGGGCGCATCACGTGCGTGATGCGAGCGCATCAGCATGACGCTTCATGCATCGGCTTCCGAGACCCGTACCGCCTCGGACCGCATCGCGCTTTTTAAAACCAAGGATATAGCATATATTTGTAGTTGTCGTACAAATGTAGAAAGATTTTTTTTTTTCATGTAAAACAGTGTTTAGTAGAGCATTATCAGAAGCATGGCCTGACATTTGGACAAGGCCGCTTGTGGCGTATGATTATAGCATCATGTAGTGTCATGCATGAATCAAGTTAGATGGACCTTTATGTTGTCTGAAGCTTATACTGTTGTTAACAGCTCATCTCTTTACCTGGCTCATTGCCTTATTTTTTATTCCTATCCAACACAATATAGTTTTTTCCTAATAAATTATGAAAGGGGAGGCTAGTTCTTTGGGGACAAAAGTATTATATTAGATGGCCTTAGTAGCGGAACATGATCATTGATCACAACTGAATTACTAGAATGCCTTATCATATGTTAGCTGGCTACTATTCATTGTCCCTAGGAAGAAGAGAATCAATTATGATTGCTGTCTTCTTAATATTAGTGGGTGATATGCAGGTGAACTGGTTTAGTTTTGATCCTGAGTACCATATTGAACGGGAACAGATGTGTTGCTATCTAACCCGTACGACAAAAGTGACTCATCAACTAATAAAAGATAACTTACATGAGACTCCCACTTATGGAGGATGGGTGGAAGCCAAGGGACCTCGATATTGCCCCTCAATTGAGGACAAGGTATGCTGTTATACTGTTTCTTTTCTATCTGGATCTCTTCAATCATCTGGGATCTCTGTTTCTTGCTCTCCCAACCCTGACATATTGGGGTTGGATATGCACACATTAAAACACTGACATATACTTGGTATATTCTGCATACAATAATGGGGCCTACAAATTAATAGATATTCTTTTGGTGGCCCTACCAATCCATGAGGTCCATGCCAACATATTTTCTCCTCCACTCTGTAATGCAATATGCGCAGTGAAGGAGTGTGCATATTCTCATCGCTGCTATTATTAATTTATTACTATCATTCTTATTTATCAAGTTAACAAGTTGCTTCTATTTCTTTGCAAATGGTCTATTGATGCATTGACACCACCTACTTATGCTATATAGAGGTCAGATGACTGTTTGAGAGCGGTGACGTTTTACTCTACCCTAGAATAGAATAATGCAATTTAGTAGAATATATTATTGATAAAAAGGAGAAGGTGTTAGCACTTGCCATTGTATGTTTGTTTACACGTGTATATAAAGTAACAAATTTTTACAGTTGTGATTGTTGACAAATAATAGAAAGGTCCTATTCAGACGGCTAACAGGTCTTTGACACTTAGTAATTGCTTCTTAATAGAAAAAAAACAGGGACAAAGCCACTGTTGGAAAAGAGGTGCCTGATAAGGATTTTCTTAGGTAAACCAAACTAAACAAAATGAGCCCTACATATCCCGCCAGAGGTGGGTTATGGGGTTGGAATGTAGAGTAGAGCGTTTGCTTCCTTACAAAGACCCCTGGCTTGTGAAAAGTGTGTGAAAAAGAAAGCTTGCCTGAAAATTTTGGCCCTATTCAGTACTTGGGGATTAATGATAAAAGAATCAAGGGATCAATGTGGATATCAATCATAGAATGAATGCAGTACATGAAGTAGAGGCAAGCATGTAAGAGTGTTGTATGACTCTAAACTGAAGAACAAGTTCTATATGATCGCGAGTAGACATGTTATAATTTATGCAGTAGAATGTTAGGTCACCAAAATACACGTATGCAAGATGAGTGTAATTTCAGAGAAAATATATTGTTATTCTCATTGAAAAGAAAAGGGATATTTATATAACTTAGAGACCTAACTAGAATCCCATAATTTAAGGGATTTGATAACATACAAGGAAACTTACCAAACTATAAAAATATCTACCAAATCTGTTACAAAAGGAAAAATAATCCCAAGAAATCAAGAATTATATTCACTGTATCAATTCCACAATGAGTGTAGCAGAGAGCAAATGTTCGGGTTAATGTGTGGTCAATGGGAATGGATAAAATTAGAAATGAATGCTGGATGAGGTCAGGGTGTCTTTTATTGAGGATTAACTGGTGCAAGAGATACTTTGGTTTTCTCCGCCTTCATTTGGATGGATGTGTGAAAAGACTTGTATCATGATGAGTCTGAGAGGTGAGGTAGATCTAGGCCATAATAACTTCAACCAAGTAATTGAAGCGATTCACAGAACTGAAATATATCCAAGGAATCAGCTCTAGATTGGAGAGTGTGGAAAGATGATACCCATGTCCTGATTGTTTAACAGCTTGCCTCAACTACTAGGCATGAAGGCTTGCTTCTTGTTTTTCTGTTATGAAGGAAATGCCATGTGTATAAAAACTGCATTGTGCTACCCAATTTCCTGTCCCTCTTCATGTAAACCTGTGCATGCACTTTGCCTATCATTTGGCTGAGTGATGGTATAATGTTTCGTGAATGGGAATTTAAATTCGAATTGCCATTTGCTATTCATAGAAATACTTCCCCATATTTAGGTCCAAGTGAAGCTGTGAAGATCGCTAACTTCTCCCAACTACCACTTTCATGTTAATCTTTGGAGTCCTATCAAGACAAACCATGTTTGTCATTGCGTTTTGTATATATTTCAGAATTACAGTAATCAAACTTTTGTAGTTTTGTCTTTGTAGTTGACCCTGCATCCAGGACTCTACCCCAAACTTTTTACTTGACTAATGTGTTATTGTTTGTTCTTTTTTCAGATCGTGAGATTCCACGATAAAGACTCCCATCAAATTTTTCTTGAACCAGAGGGTCGAAGTGTACCTGATCTCTATGTGCAGGTCTTCTTTAGCTTTCTCACTGCATTCTTTAACCATTTCGAATCATTGATTTCTGCCTTTTAATTTGAATAGATGGTGGCCAAAAATTGGGATTATTTATGCACCAATTGTGACCATATGATCTGTGCATATAAATGTTGTTTTGTATTAACAGTTACCTGGGAGGGTACCCATATTCCTTTTTGAAAATCAAGAATTACTTTTTCCTACATCTCCATAGAGGTTTTTGTAATTGCTCTCCACTTATCTCTCGTCTCTTGGCGAGTGTTGGAGTGTGACCTTGGACTATTTATCCTTTCATCCGAAGCATAGATGGTATAATTTGTTTTTTCATTTTTGTAATTTGAATACTGACCCTTGATCTGTTTTTCCTTTTCTTCTTTAACCATACAGGGTTTCTCAACTGGCTTACCTGAAAGATTACAGCTACCACTATTGAGAACTTTACCAGGATTGGAGAATTGTTCCATGCTGAGGCCAGCATATGCTGTAGAGTATGATTACTTACCTGCGCATCAGTGTTCCAGGTCACTTATGACAAAGAAGATCGAAGGACTTTTTTTCTCTGGTCAAATAAATGGAACAACAGGTTATGAAGAAGCTGCTGCTCAGGTTTGTCATGGACAACTGCTTCCCTTTTGCCTTTTGTTTGTTTGTTACTACAATACAAATTGAGTGGCATCATATATGTTTTTATTACATATTTACTATTTGTTTTTGTTGTATTCACTTGCCTTTGGTCTTATTCTGTCCATTCATCTTCATAGGGAATTATTTCTGGAATAAATGCTGCTAGGCATTCAGACGGGAAACCCCTCATTGTTCTTGAGAGGGAAAGCAGTTATATAGGTACCCTGATTGATGATCTGGTCACGAAAGATCTTCGAGAGCCTTACCGTGTGCTGACAAGGTACTATGGAGCATTGACGGGTTAAACATACATACCATGTACTGATCGCTATTGTGGCTATGGAAACTATTAAGAAACATACAGTAGATTACTAGATTTCCTATGATATACTAGATCATGCTAAATTTAGGAATGCAAGTTTAGAGAATGTTTGAAAGAAGATATTATCTATATATAGGCGAAGGATCGTGTGAGAAGGGAAGTTATGGAGGGAAGCGTAAGAAGAGATCGAACCCTTGATCACTTTTAATCTCATGCCCACCATGAATTACGCTTTAGAAGGGAATTGATCCGGTGCATCTCGGTGCACCTCACTAGTGTTGACATTCAATTAGGATTGATCCAAGGGTGGAGATCTCTTCTTACGCTTCTCGCGATAACTTCCCTTCTCACCGGAACCCAACCCTATATGTGTATATATATCATCTAATTGATCTTGTGAAAGATAACCCTTTCAACCTCCATGAATAGCTTTTCAGATTTGACTTTTCAAATTAGAGGTAACAATACGGTGTGATTACTTCCCATTATATTTCTTATAACTGTATTTCTAGTTGCTTCAAATGGTACTGACCTAACAAACTGAATTTTGCATCCTCAAACACCAATATTGCAACCTAAGTATGAGACTAGTGCAGCTGTAGGCGGTTTTGCTGATTGCTGTTTCCTAATGTTCAGCTGGTTGATACTAAAATATTTGTAGACGGTAATTTAAGGCTTGATTATTGATTATTAGCATGCTCAACTGGAAATTAGAAATTAAGGTTAAGATGGGCAATTGTATGCGCACATAGATGCCTGAAATTCCCTTGAAATCGGTATCTTGCTGAAAGATGAATCCCAATTCAGATGTACTCTTCACTAAGTTGTTACATTATGCATTTGTGATGGGATTTGAAACTTTAGATTGTATTACAATAAACATGGCTTAAAACTTATGCTTCTTTAAATCTGCCTTTTCTATTAAGAGTCAGGAAATCTGCCTATGCTTCCATTTCTTATGAGAATGCTTACTCTCCTTTCAGCCGTTCAGAATATCGGTTGCTTCTTCGATCAGATAATGCTGACAGCCGTCTCACGCCTTTAGGTCGTGAAATTGGTTTGATAGATGACAGAAGGTGGACAGCATACCAGGACAAGCAAGCTCGAATCTCAGAGGAGAAAAAGAGATTAAAAACTGTTCGGGTTACAAGTAAGACCAACCATCACATATTTTTCATAAAGAGATGAATAATGTAGTTGTACGAGCAGAAAGCGAAAATTTTCCCAAATTTCAGGAAAACCTGGAAATTCTATTTAGATGTAGTTCCTAAATGCTTTGACCCCAACTACATCCTATATAATCTGCATAAGTAGATTAGCTCTTGCAGACAATCTACAGGTTGTCTGATAGTCTGTTGATGGTTCAGTTACTTTTTGCCCGAATGATGTTCATATCATTCAAGGAGGTCTCAGGTTCAAATCCAAGGAGGAATAAAAATCCCCTTGTGGACACGGAGGTTCAAATGCAGACTCCGGGCTACCTGCAAAGCAGGTGGTCGCCCTGGGATTAGTCGGCTCGCATAGCGGGTTGGATATCCAGGTTAATTAAAAAAAAATGATGTTGATATCGACTATGTTAAAAGAATTTTGGGTCATATACAATTTATGTCTGGCTATTCTTTTTTCTTTCTTTGGGTAAAAATATGCAAGAAGAAGCTCGAGTAGTACATGTCTTAGGATTTGAGGTACAGGCTTTCTACCTATTAGGAATCCAGGTATTCCATGCAAATTTTGATGGGAAAAGGCACGTGACCTTCACATGCCATCATTAAAGTTCTTCAATGTCATTTACTTTCTGTTTGTATATGTTTCACATCGCAAAAGGGCATTAGTCTTTTATATCTTGTAAAACAGTTGTAGTATAGAACTGATGGACTACATGTTTAAGTTATCCCAATTGGTTCGCAAGATTCCCTCTGGGTGCATTTGTACGCAGAAAGGACTTGACATGACTGGATGGGCAAGAGTGAGGTAGGCGGGTGAAGAAATTGTGTAACGTTTTAGGGTTTTGATTTGATGATATGGGTAGTTTAGTAATTCAAGGGATGGAGAGAATACTTATCATTGCATTGTGGAGATTCAACATACAAGTTTCTGAATGGTGTATGTTACAGGTGAAGAATTAGCTGATGAAATTACTCTTCTGTCTGGTCAGCCAGTCAAGGATCATTCAACACTTGAAAGCCTTCTTAAAAAGCCACATATAGAATACAAAGTGTTTGACAAGCATGGTTTTGGAAATGATGATCTGTCTAGGATAGAAAAGGAATGCATTGAGATTGATATCAAGTACGAAGGTTTGATTGCACGCCAACAGAGTCAATTGCAGCAGGTTAAGAATCTAAATTACCTCAACTGTGGCTTTCATTTTCATTGCTAACTTATAAACCTTCGTTCCATAGAAGCAAAGAGGATTCCACTTATTTTGGGACATAGGGAGTACATAGGACTTGTGCACTTCAATATATATGTATTCCTTTTCTGTTAATGTCGTAGTATCTTCTCAGAATTCAATTTTGATCATGTTTTTCAGATGGTTCATCGACAACATAAACCCCTTCCTGCAGACTTAGATTATCATGCTATGAAAACTTTGTCGCTTGAAGCACGTGAAAAGCTATCAAAGGTATGTTTCGTTTGCATGGTCATTGTGCTATCTGAATTCTGACATAACTATGATTTCATCATCTGCCCATCCTATCTTATAACACCTCGAATACTGTTATGCCTTCATTTTCTTGGAGCTTATACTGGTGATATGCCTGCTTCAATTTCTTACTTGTTTATATTCTATTATGCCATGTTTTTACAAGTATACAAGAAAGATACATGATAAGCTACATTAGTTTCTGTCTTGAGATTTCCAGCAAGTTTTATTTATTTAAAATGTAATCACAGATTAGAGAGCTCATTTTATGTATATTGGAATCACTGGAGAACCCCATTGCATACTAAACTCCTAGCAAAGAGACTAGAATGTCATGTCGCATCTTGTTTTCAGTTTTTCCGCAAGTTCAAATTGCTCATAAATAGCAATTTTGGTAGACTAGGAGGATGTTGGATGAGCAACTGAGCTTGGACATGCCGACTTTCGACATTTATGAGGATATGACATATGATAGGAGCTCTTCGAGACGCAGGAGTAGGGGTGGGCATCTGTAGACAGAAGGGCCCCGGGGTAGGTTATATGTTAGTAAGTTTGTAGTTGTGTTAATGAACGCGTTAGACTAGGGTTTGTAGTTTTCTTAACTTGGTTATGTTTTTCTTAAACCTCTCTCTATTTGTATGTCATTGCATATTATCATAGCTTGCTTTTCAAAATATGTCATCTCTGCCTTTTTCTCTGTCACATACTTTTGAAAATAGTCACTTTACTTTTTTGGGTAGATGTCAGGTCTGCATACATTATACCCCCTCCAAAAGACCCCCCCTCTGGATGAGATATATTAGGCTCGTTTGGTTTCTTTCCTCCGTACCTCATCATACTTTGTCCCACTTGATCATGGTTGGCTGAAGTTACAATTCTTGATCTTTGGCGCTTTTTTCTTTCAGGTGAGGCCACAAACAATCGGTCAGGCAAGCAGAGTTGGCGGGGTTAGCCCTGCTGACATTACCGCCCTCCTTATTGTCATGGAGTCCAACCGCAGGAAAGCTCAAGAACTCAAGACCCACCAAATCTTGGCTTCTGTCATTGCTGCCGATTCTGCATAAATCCATTTTCTGCTGAAAATCCGTTGTTGAACAAATTTCAACTTCCGGTGCAACAGTGAATTTGCATCCTGTACGTACTGATATGATTTCCTGCTCCTTTTGAATCGATGAATTTTGATTTTCGGTTGGTTTTGGGCATCACGGAGAGGACAAGTTAGTAATTTGACAGGATTTACAGATATCGAAATACTGAAATGTGAATATATGTAATTTTATTACTTATAGTATCCATCAATGGAAATAGCATGTGTCCTATAAGCGATACATTGCACGTGTTTAGACGTTCATTTTCTAAGTGATTACAGGAACCAAAAATGAAGTTTACTCTTATTTATTTAACGTACAAGTAGTCGACGCCCCTTTCTTTCTTACCATTTCTAGTTCCAGAATGCAGATGATGATGGAGTTCAAAGGTACCTTTTTCCCTCTTCATCATTTCAAAACCCCTAATTTCTTGTTTTCAAAATTAGCTTCTAGAATCCCTCCTCAAATGATTCTAGTTCCCTTGCATTCAAATTCAGCATCTGATTCACTGTTTGAAAAGATATAAAGGTTGATGATGCCCTCCAACTGTTTGATGAAATGACACAAATACAACCTCTGCCATCTGTGGTTAAGTGGTCAAAATGATTTAGTTCAGAATGATTAAGTGGTCAAAATGATTAAGTGATTCTCATGATGCAATGCAAAATGAAATATAATTGTTTGGTAATTATTTACGATGAAATTAGGGCATTGAATGGTTAAGAGAAACTCATGATATAAAATCATTCAAAGGGTTTTAGAACCATTAAGAGGCAGACTTTTTTTTTCCAAACAAAATTCACCTCTTAGCGATTTAAAGGTTGTCTCTTGATGAAACTATTAAGAGGTAAACAAACAACTTTTAACTGATTCACATATTAACCTTTGTGATTCATATATATACTAATTAACTGATTCAAATATGAACCTATTCATATATGAATTAGTTAAATAGTTCATATGTGAACTAATTAACGGGTTCACACATGAACATCTAGTTCATATGTGTATCAAATGGGTTCACATATGAACCCGTTTGCCGCCTATTTGTAAAAATTATGAAAATACCCCTCTATATTCCGTATACCCATGCGAGGAACTATCCGGTGCTTCACGATCAAAGCTGCAAATGTTGATCAGATGAAGGGCTAGAATCACTTCTTTACTTCTCAAATATTTACCACTTCTCAATTAAACCTTTCCATATATATATGAAACAATTTCATAACTATATATGAAACAAATTCATCAAAAAAAGTATTATATGAAACAATTTGACAAGATTAAACAATTTCATGAAAATGTTTCATAAGATTAAACAATGAAATCGACGTATGAAAGTGGTTTGTACGGTTTTTACAAATGAGGATGATTTTCATTTGATCGCTCATATATATATATATATATATATATATATATATATATATATACTAGTTGTGTGCCCGCACAATGCTATGTAAACAGGGCGTAGAAATCATAAACATAATGATTCAATCACCCAGCACAAATTTTGAAGTGTCACCTCTTGAGATCGTCTCGGCTATGTCTCCCTAGTTGGGATTTGAAGATAGCACTTATAAACATAACGATTTGATCATCTTCAACGAATTCAGATAACAAATGTGTAATTTTATTTCCATTTCTATGAAGCGATGATAACTTTTTTGGTGGAATATTGAGATTGAACTTCTTGAGGTACAATTGTATATGTAAGCTCTTGAATGTCTATGTTGGCTCAATGTAAGATTGCACCCCTGTTATGGAGTCTTATATCAAATGTCTTTGATCTAGCGATATGCGAGTCTTTGGCCTTTTAGGAGGGCAAGGGTTTAAGTCTCACCAAAGATGAAGAGGATGTATACGTTTATTTGTTCTATTTGTCATATATAAATATTATATACTTAAAAAAAAAATACTCTTGGTATGGGAGTCGAACCTCTTGTGCATGTTGTATTTTCATTTGGTTGTTTTGGAACAGTTGTTGAGATATTGAATTAAATGGCAGATTTAACCCTTCTTAACTCATTCATTTACATTTTTGGTCCGATAAAATAAAAATCATTTTTTTCCCTTTCTTTTCATTATTTCCTATTTTAAAAATTCTACAATTATTTCATTCGATTAGCCACATAAATATTTTAAGACTTCTAATTAATTATTTTATTTACTCAATATGTTTTAGATTATTATTTTGGTTTTATTTTTATAAAAATATTAAAGACACCTATAATATTATTCGTTTATTTTTATATTTAGAATTTTGAATTTGACAGAAAGGATCATAAAAATAATGATAATAAAATTGATTTTTCTTCGTAAAAAAATTCAATTTATGAATGGTCAATCCTTTGTAAATATCCCTGATTTATTAAATTCTTTTAATCTCAAGTTGTACACAAAGTGTCTCAATCCAGGTAACCGTTTGTATAATTACACAGGCAGTCAAGGTATGCCTGCAAAAATTGATGCAAAAGCAAATAAAATACCTGTTAAAATGATTTCCCACGACTTCAGTTTTGCGTTAAAAATATAGATATTAAATGAGTAGTCAGAACATGGAATTAATGTTAAGTTGTCCATCAATGTGACAAAATAGAACTAATGTGAAGATTAAAATGAAAAATCAGTAGCAGAAATGGTATTCAAGATATTGACAAACAGAAAAAACTGAAGATACAGATGGACAAAAACATACCTTTTACATTTTTAGATGTTATGTATACAAATAGCCTCATTTCCTTCCTTCGGTACAAGCTTACCAATCAACTTAAGGAGACTACCATCTAATAATCGAGCTGATATTTGATCAAGTAACATAGACGAAGTTGAAGCATCGACCGAGAAATCTGGTCCATAGACAAAGTTTGGCCCCGCCCAGGACCGATTACGAAACACGGAGATCGGGCCATGGTTACGAAAAGAAAATCAAGGAACGGGACTTATTTATGTATATAAGTATCAAAATCATTTATTTATACTTCTTTACAAATTTATTAGACTTGAGTCACTAAGTAAATTGCATGAAAAAGTAACATATTTTAATTTGATTTCTATTTTGGGTAAAATACTTTCAAAAAATTTCTATTTTGATACTTAAGATGTAAAGCTTTAAACATTTTAAGTACTCGGGTAACCGGTTGAAGACTAATTTTAGATTAAAAAAAATCATGTCACTAACCACGTCAACAAATAATACTGAGTTGGATACCGCATCACTCGTCACATCAGCATAATAGCCGGTTAATGCTATAACCAGTTACCCGGGTACTTAAATGTTTAAAACTTTACATCTTTGGTACCAAAATGAAAGTTTTGAAAGTAAATAGGAATCAAGTTAAAGTACGTTACTTTTTTATGCAATTTGTCATTAAATAAATATTAGATATAACAATAACTTTATCAACTTTGAATTGGATTGGTTCGACTAATCCAATCTAAATGAACCTAAAATCTAACTATCGTAGAATCTAACTATCGTAGAATTTCCTAATGGGCCTCTACTTGGACAATTTTCTGATTATATCATTAGGAGTTACTTCGATCCGGTGGGAAATCCGGTTCACCCGATTCGAATGGGGATGGGGATTCCCCTCTAAAACGGGTTCCGAGGCCGGGGATCCCCGTTAGACTCAAACCGGGGGCGGGGACGGGGGATGTTACTCAAACCGGGGCCGGGGTCGGGGATTCCCAGTATAATCAAACTAAAGGATACTATTTATGGGGTTTGACCGGGGTTTTACCGAGTTTTGACCGGGAATTGCTAGAGATTTGACCGGGGACGGGATGACAATCCCCGTACCCGCCGGGAACCGGGGCCAGGGCCGGGGGACGTTACTACAAACCGGGGCCGGGGCCGGGATTACAAAACCCGCCCCATTTCCGCCCCGTTGTCATGCCTATTAGGAGCATCCACCATATACATTACCACTGAGATATTGTGTGATCCGCTATTTTGAAGCAGATATGGGAATTAAGCGGGGACCTCAATCTCCATCCCTCAATAGGGGACGGGGATCCTTAGTGGATTTTTTTTTCCCGTTTATGTAAGATGTTTTAGATAAAATGTGTTAAACACCACATTTGAGTTGATCGATAACGGTGTATGTTTAAATCTCACTTATTTCCAAAAAAATAATAAATAAGATATGGTTCTGGGGGGAAATCCCCTGCCCCGTTGGAGTGGGTTTTCCAATATCATAAAATTTTTAAAGATCTGTAAAGATGGTTAAGTTTGCATAATCAGTACCTGAAAACTCAACTTTCAATAAATAACGACCACCGCCTTGTATGTGACATTTCCTTTCCTTACAAGGGTGTTTCTGACTGTCAGATATGTAGAGTTTATTTAACCAAAGAACATATAGTATAGAGAAGAGAAAGGGACCATGTCTAGCATACACAATGCATAGATCCATTGTAAGGGCAAAAAAAATACATTTCTCAAGAGTGCCACCATCATATAGCTTTTGGAACTGAAATGTTAATACAAGACTTTAATGAATCAGAAGGTAAATGCGCTTGCCTTTATACAAAAATCCCATGCTCGAGTTCTATGGCTGTCAAATTTGTTGTTTTTTAGCTTAAATTTTGGTGGTTTCATATACCCTCTAGTGTTTTTTAAAATATATGTGTAAACCGGACTGAAACATAGGTCTTTTCTATTTCTATGTAAGGACAAGGAACCAACCTACAGATCTATATTAATATTACTTGAAAATTTTTATGCATATAACTGTGTTTGTGCATCCAACAATAAACACCCAAGATACCAAAGGGTCGTTGGTTCAATGGTACCCCAGGCGTCAAGGGTTTAAAACTCACCAAATGTGGAGTGTGCGTGAGCATTTGTCGTATATACTTCAAAAACGAATGAACACCAAAGATCCCTCTTTGTCGTCCTCCTGATCCACGAGCATTATCGTAACGTATGTTCACCTTTTATAAGGTTGAATGTGATACTTTTGGTACTCGGAAGAAAACGATATCGACTCATCATCGAGCTTTTTCTTCAATCTCCTCCAGGTTCTTAACATATCAGACTGTATCAACCCTCTATATAGCATCTCAAAAGTCACCTTTTGTGGCAAAATCCCTTTTTCGATCATTTCAACGAAATACTCACATGCTTCTCTCCACTTTTGCTTTTCGCACAGATCATGAACCAACAGCGTGTATGAATCCAAATCCGGCCCGACCCCACTAACCTTCATATCGTCCCAGATCACTTTAACAAGATCGAAGCGGTTCAACCTCGTAAACATCCCCAAAAGGATGTTATACGTGTGTGAGTCGGGTAAGGATACGGAATCATCTTTGATTTTCTTATACAGTCTAAAAGCACCATCAACATCTTTCCTACCCCTATACTCCTTAAAGAAACAGTTAAAAGTTGTAGCAGATGGAGTAACCCCATTGCAGACCATCTCATCGAGCAATTTTTCAGCATCTTCAAGCCGTCCGCATGAACAAAGACATTTCACGACAGAGGTGTACGATGTCAATGTTGGACGGATGCCTTTCTCCTTCATCATCTTTAACTTTTCAAGGGTAAGATCTGGCTTATGTGCTCGACTATAAACATGGAGCACGATTGAATAACTAGTTACATCTGGGTCTATACCTCTTTGATGCATTTCATCGAGCAGGTTCTCTGCGGCTTGGAGTGTCCTCTCGAATCGATCATCAGGGTGTAAACTGGACCTCCGACATATACCATTCAAAAGAACATTGTAAGTAACCACATTAGGTTCGATTCTGCTATCCAACATCTCTCTGAAGAACCTCTCTGCCATCTTAGACTTGTTTTCTTTACACCACCCGTATATCAGAATCGTGTACATCTTTGCATCAGGCTGGAATCTCCAGCTCTTCCATTTATTGAACATCTCTGTAGCGACTTTTGGATAGCTATATTTACAGAGTGTGTCAAAAAGGAAATAGAAATCATCAATGGGCTGTTGGTCAGCATCATTTACAACAAAACAACCCATATCATCAAATGCACGGATGGCTTGCCGAGTCAAACCAGCAGCTATAAGCCGACGGATTAACACATAAAAAGTGGTGGAAGTTGGGTTCACGCCGTTTTGGTCCATTTCGGTGATTAATTGCCAAGCCACATCAAATTGTCGGACTTTACCCAATATGTCGATCATGAGGTTGTATGCAGGGGGGTCATGAGAGTATTGAGCTTGCTCTTTAGCCCAAGAGAAAAAAGCTAAGGCGATTTTGGAGATGTTTTTGAGACGAATTAGGGTTTGGTGGACGAGATTTGGGGTAAGCTTAATGCCATTAAGCTGCAGAGATGATTCCATGGAATGGAACGGATTATGGTGCTGGATAAGTATCTGAGAAATCAAATCAGCATCCCTAGAAGATTCAAGTGAAGGAAGTGAAGGTTTTGTCATGGCTTCTGCTACAACTTCTTTGGGATCAAAAGTTGAGCAAGAGAATGAAGAAACGAAACGGAAATGGGACAATGTGAACATCATGCGGCGGGAGTGGCGGAAACACAATGCCATTGGCAAAATGTTACTCAAGATTAGTGCGATCTGCCACTCGGTAGTCGGTATTGATGAATACACAGCACAAAAACGAAAACTTTCTGTTTTAGGTCACCAAACTGCTTTTTGCTAGCATTCTGCAAGAAAGAAAAAACAAGCAAGGCAAGTTGTTCAGTGATGTAATAAAGAATCAAAGATAAATACACAAACCAAACGAGGCCAATATATCCCTCCCGAAGGAAAGGGTGGGGCTGCGGGCGGGATGTATGCAGACATGTTTTCTACCCCGGAGAGTAGAACGTTTGTTTTTGAAAAGGATCTGTAAATGAACAAATTCGATATGGTAACTCCTTCATACAAAAGGTTTTCTAATCATCCCTTAGGGTGCGTTTGGTGCTCAGACAGGACAGGACAGGACAGGACAGCTGTTCAGCGTTTGGTAAGACAGGACATGACAGAACTGGTTAAAATGACCAATTTACCCCCAGTGAGCTGTTTAGTGTTAAAATGACCAATTTACCCTAATCACGATTCTTTCAATCGTCATCCATCTCGTTCTCTTCTCTGCTCCATTTTCTGCAGATTAACAATGGTAATGTTGCCATTGTTACAAGTGATCCCAAACCAATCTGCACATGGATCATTCCCTTTCCAATTATTAGCCAATTTGGGGGAATAATCCATCGACTTCGCAATCGATAGCAACGTATTCACTCGAGGATAACAGTCACCAGGCTCCGGCAAACAAAAGTTATTAGAATCCTTCACCATATCTACCGAAACCGAATCTTTAAACTTAGGCATCGATCCCTGAAGCTTATTATTAGTTAAATTAATGGATTTCAACGATTCAAGATTCATCAAAGACACAAGAATAGGACCTGTAAATGAATTATCCCTAAGACTCAAAACCTCCACTTCATCCCAAGGTGTTTTATAACCATGGTATATATCCAACCTGTGACTGACTATGAACAATGAACAGTCGAAGAGCTTGGTTCACTACCACAAACAATGAACAGTCGAGAGCTTGGTTCACTACCACAAACAATGAACAGTCGAGAAGAGTCGATAGAAAAACTAGGTCACAAAGCTTGGTTTGCCCACCTCGGAATCTCAGTCGAGAACAGTCGAGAAGAGAAGGCGATAATGCGTACCTGAGTATGGAGAGAAGAGAAGCAACAGTCGGTCGCCGTCGATGAACAGTCAGTCGCCGTCGATGGGGTTGAAAACCTAGGGCTTTTTTTGACAGATTGAAGCTAGAGGAATAACGGGAAGAAGATGATAATGATTGAGGGAAAATAATGAACGGAGCCGGTCGCCGATTGATGAAGGAGAGGTAGGGTGGGATGGAATGGAGGACCTGACGGGAAGGCGGGGAAGGACGCATGTGAGGGTAGATTAGTAAAAAAAACCTTGTTCTACTTAGTTCTTGGGGGGTAAGGGTGGACACCCGTGTCCCATCCTTGTTCAAGTTAGTTCCACTTAGTTCTACTTAATAACACACCAAACATGGGACAAGTGTGTCCTGTCCCGTCCTGTCTCATCCTGTTCTACTTAATAACACACCAAACATGGGACAACTTATTTTCATATTGTTGTACATGGAAATATATTCCATGAATTTGGTCTATCAAGTTCGACTGTAAGATTTCATAGTATCATATACAGCTCTATTTCACCAAGTTAAGTTGAAGAGCGGATGCAGCCAAAGCAGCTTAGAAAAGCCCGAAACAGATTTCAGCTAACCTAAGTAGAACACTTGTAAATAGCGACTCTTATGTAGCAAAATAAGGGTCCAGTTGGATTTTTTTAGCCAAGACTTCTACTTTCGAATAAAAAGTAGATCGTTTTCCGATTACAATTTTAGGCAAAATAGATCAAAACGCTATCATACTCTCACATCTTTTCGATAAATACCCGAACAAAAAGGTTTAGCAATCACATACTTATACTCCAATAATCGTATCAATTACGTCATTTTCATCCATCTATACTCCAAAAACCTTAAAACAACTTATACCTCCTACAAGTTTACTGTTATCTGCATAAACATAGCATAGTTGCACATTTTGTAAGAGGTATTATATCATAAAGAGGTATTGCTTTACTTTCTAAAATTGATCTTTTTTGTTTAATAATACTAAACATTTTATTGATACTTCTGCAGATTACCAAGTCCCCCTAAGATTGAGATTTTCTCTATGTTTGCAGTTGGATTACCCATAGACTTTTTTTTACATATTTGGTCCAAGTGAGAGTGAAAGAGTGCAATATGTAACACCACTTCTCTCAGACATTTCATCGAACACCTTTTGGGCACTCCCAAAGTTGCCATAGTTACAACTAAAAGATTCAAATCGGCAACCTCCACAATTCTTCAACTTAGATTATTTTACAGCCCTACTTAATTCTTAACTTTTTCGGAATGTGAAATCCACCCATATCATGAATTGCTCCGACAAATTACTCACAATCAACAGAAAACGGGAATGGAATTGAATCATAAGAAGACAACCAACCTTACTCCAATGAAGAGCTATCCACGGGAGATGTGAGTCAGTAATGGAGAAGATAAACACAGCAGCGGATCGCCGGGAAGGCACCGACCGTTTTAGTTGGTTTAGCACAAACGGGTTTTAAATCAATAAAAGCAAAAAACCAACTTTCTCGACGAACTTCCATATTTTAGATGGTTTAGTCATGAATTTTATTTTTGAAAAATAAAACTTTTATTATCTTGAACGATTAAATCAAAATAAAAGAATAATTTAACTTTCTCATTCTAAATGATTAAAATTTTTAAATAAAATAAATCATCGATTTTTTTACTGGTTGGTTAATGCAATTTTTTTTTTGATTAACCTGGATATCCAACCCGCTATGCGAGCCGACTAATCTCAGGGCCACCACCTGCTTTGCAAATAACCCGGAGTCACCGCATTTGAACCTCCATGGCCTCAAGAGGATTTTTATCCCTCCTTGTATTTAAATCTGGTACCTTCTGGTACTTTTGACTTTTGGAGTCAATCTCAAACCAATCAGGCAACTTTTTTGCATTAAAAAGGATGTGGGTAACCGATTTTTAAAATGATGAATTAATAGGAATAGTCATTTTCAGACTTTGTTTCATCTCTTAGTATTTCTTTCGAAATATTTCAGAAATGTCACTACCTCCGTATGACAACTTCTCAACTTGTGTAGGGATCAAAGTATGGAAAAAAAAAAGTTTTTCCTCTTTTTGAACGAGGTCTGCAAGTGTAGAGAACATTTATGCAAATTAGTCCAACACATCCGTAGGTTGCGACCTATATCTAATTTACAGAAATGGTCGTTGCATTTATGACCTTGTTCAAAAACATGTTTTTACACTTTGACCCCTCTGTAAGTTGAGGAGTTGTCACTTCCGGAGTTAGTGATATTTTTTAAATATTGGGAGAGAATAGCTAAAAACTAGAGTTGTTCATGGGCGGAACAATCCATTAGACTTGGCCCATCCGGCCTGCTAGAAATACGGGTTTGGACAACCATTATCGAGAAAATGGACGGGCCCGAGTTTGTTCGTTAAAATTAACGGGCGAACATAGGAATGTAAAAATAAATATGGACAAGCCCATCCAGCTTGTTTATATTTTAAATTAATATTTTTTTACCATTAATTAAAATTATATTAGTATATTTTAAAATTAAATTATTAAAGCTATAAGATGAGACTCTTTGGTTATTCTTGATAACCCAAAAAACTAAACTAGTAAGCTTCATCTTCACTTGGTAATCAATGCTCATAACTGAGTTTGTGTGACAGTTGAGATACAAATCATGTGAATTTGAGTTGGTTGATTTTTATAAATAAGGGTGTTTGTTGGGCACAATCACACATTGGGTGCATTTAATTTCATAAGCATTGGAAAATGCATGGTATTGAGTTGTTTGGGCATTTTAAGTACCGAATCATACGATTTTTACCTTAAGATGATTCATGCAGTAGTATGATGATGTATTTGACTTGTTCCTATTTTGGTGCGTAAGAGCGTCTAAACATTGAAGAAATGCTCCTTTAGTTGACTTATATGAACTTCTATCCAGATGGTTTTATAAGTTGGGAATTTTGGTAAACTGGTCTCATTGATTGAGTTTTAGAAAATTTGATCAACTCTCATTGTTGAACATTAAAGTGCATATGTTGCATGCTTGGAGTTTTGCCCAACTTTTGATTATTCAATGTTATTTGGATATTTTATACATACGTTTGTATAATTACTTGGAAACATGTCTTTTGGACTTATGTGGTCTTCAATGGAAACGGGTCTCCACCGTCATCAAAAGATGTTATTTGGCATTCTAAAAATGGTGTATTTTGGAAAGATATCGTTTTAAAATGTAAAAGTTCTTTCAAAAGTGAAAATTGTCATCCTAGAACATTTGTTCAGTTTATGGTTTCTTATTGGCAATATAAAATGTTTGAACTCACTATAGTTTAAGTCCAACACTTTTTCTTGTCGACATGTATATCAGGTCCTTGTAGGAAGATACTAGCAAGACTTGAGAAGAGTTGAGTACTAGTCAGAAGTTCATGACGGACTTAGCTATATGGGACGTATCCCTTATGGTTTTAGAGATGGCGACTTTATTTGTTTGTCTCGGATGTCCTTATCCTAGACCAATTGAAATGTTTGGTTTATAATTTATTGATATAAATACTAAAATACGTAATTCAATTTTTTTTTATTAACCTGGATATCCAACCCGCTATACGAGCCGACTAATCCCAAGTCGACCACCTGTTTTGCAGATAACTCAGATTCACCGCATTTGAACCTCCGTGGCCACAAAGAGATTTTTATTCCTCCTTGGATTTGAATACGTAATTCAATTGTCATACATTATAAAAGAATTTATCCTTCATTTGATGTATTTAAAAAAAAAACTAAAAGTGACAATTATACCAACAACACACTTAGATTTACCATCTTACAAGTACTATTTGACCTTTACAATAAGTTAGCTCAACTAATAAAAAAAGTATATTAAAGGGACACCCATGTGAAAGCCAACATGATTTTCATTATACGAGTTTTCTGAACAACTGGTTTATAGGCTTCTTGAACAATATTATCCGACCTCAATGAGTCAGAAATAATGTCCATTGAACGAGGACGCAATGGTTGGTCAAACCAACAAATAAATCCACAACTTTGTCCCTATTAAACAAGGAGATGGAAAGTCAGGTCGAAAAACCAAGATTTTGACCTAACTTCAGACTTGGCATTCTTGAACAGCATAGAATCACAAAGAATTAGAAGATGTCCATGATGTTTGAATGATTAAATCATGATTTTGACCAAACTAAGAGACTTACCATTCTTGAATAGCAAAATCGACACCCGAAATTAGATGTCCATGATGTTCGAATGAGTAAATCTGCTCCAAAGGTACATTACACCATTGTTAGAATGCAAGTAAAGTTGGGGACGCGCAAATGAACCCAAAACATGAGAGAACTCAAAGAAGATTATACGGATTAAGGAGTACTCAATAGAGGCACCATCACCTCAATTGAGAGGGAAGAAACTTTGGAAAGACCAAAACACCCTCCGCATGCAAAGCACGTGAGAGGGTCCTAACAGCCAAAAAGAAACGGCACCAAAGACAAACTATGACGAAGTAACAAACGTGAGGGACGAAAACCACCTAAATGAAGTTTAGGAGCAAGATCAATTGAAATAGACAAAGATTAGGGACCAAAACTAAACATAGAATG